GAGTTGAAGTTTTTGTTTTGTTCAGTTGATCATTGTTGTTGTTTGAAATTATCTTTTGGAAAATACGGGCAGACATACGTTTTTTTCTTCTCTTTGCTGCTGCCTTTCATTTTACTTGTATTTTTTTATTGTTTACAGAATTTGTTTTATTTTTAAATTAAATCAGTTTTCAGCCTGAGACGTTATGAAGGTAAATCTCACCTCGTCTCTCTGAGATCAGACTCTCTGATGTTCTGGGCGGAACTTGGCCAAAAGTCATTCATGTATAGTTTATTAAAACCAAGATTAAAAAAAAATCACAACCATATAATATTGATTTTCAGCCTTTGAGTTGAGATACTTCTACAGATTATATTAATCTGTAGAGATTATGACCTGCAGATGATGGAGATTCAAACCGGAGCTGCATTGGGTTTATAAATAAAATTCATGATTTTTTTAAAGAAATTCTTCAAACCAACCTTTGATCACACTGATGAAAACATGTCGCCCCCCAGAGGACAGAGGGTGTTACTGCAATCAAACAAGTTGAAACCGTTTTAATTCTGCTTCATGAAAACACATCAGAGTGACCGTTACAACATTTAAATCATCTCATTCATCAAACCTGCCTCCACTTTATTCTTCAAGTTTTAATCTCATTAAAAAAAAAACACAGGAGACGACGAAGAAACCGGGACAGTTTTCTGAAAGTGGAATGTGTAAATATCTTACAAATACTGTTGATTAATAACAGAAATGTGCTGTTAAATAAAAACCAAGTGCATAAAACATCAAGAAAACCTCAGAGTCAGAGTTATTGTCGTAACCGTGGGAAAGTGTTTCAGTAGGGGGGTGCAGTGGAAAGTTGTTTTATCTGAACATGGACCCAATCTGACCACGTTTTGTGTAGTTTTACACAGAATTAAACTGGACTGACTCAGCTCAGTAATATCAAAATATTATTGGAATCAGAAATGTGCTCATTTAAGCGTGTATTTATACACGCATGTACTCTGGCATTTATCAGGCAGTGCTGCAGCACCCTCTGCACCCCTACTTCCCACGGATATTTCATATTTTTGTGCATTTGTTCAAAGCTCTTTATCAAACTAAAACTCAGCTTCATCCCCGACGTGACGTCATCATTCTTGTTTTTAAAACCTCCTCGCCTGAATTCAGGAACGTTTCTTGGCGTCGCCGCCGTCCTGCGCCCACAGGAAGTCCGAGATGAGTTTAGCAAATTTTCTTGGCCGCTCCAGAGCCACAGAGTGACCGCAGTCGTCCAGCAGCTCCACCTGGCAGCCGGGCAGCACCGTCTGGATCGCTGTGGTACCTGAAATGTCCAGCACCTGAGAGGAGACAGGTGAGACAGGTGAGACAGGTGAGACAGTTGAGACAGGTGACAGGTGAGACAGGTGACAGGTGAGACAGGTGAGAGAGGAGACAGGTGAGACAGGTGACAGGTGAGACAGGTGACAGGTGAGACAGGTGAGAGAGGAGACAGGTGAGACAGGTGAGAGAGGAGACAGGTGAGACAGGTGACAGGTGAGACAGGTGACAGGTGAGACAGGTGAGAGAGGAGACAGGTGAGAGAGGAGAGAGAGGTGACTGGTCCTATTTTATTAACCTGGTTCTGGTTTATTAATCTGGTTCTGGTTTGTTTACCTGGTTCTGGTTTGTTTACCTGGTTCTGTTTTGTTTACCTGGTTCTGGTTTATTTACCTGGTTCTGGTTTGTTTACCTGGTTCTGTTTTGTTTACCTGGTTCTGGTTTGTTTACCTGGTTCTGGTTTGTTTACCTGGTCCTGTTTGCCCCAGATGACCTGCAGCGGTGATGTGATCAGATGCAGGTGTTCCTGCAGAGAATGACGAGACTTCTCCCCGACAATCTGGACGAACACTGAGGACAAACAGTCCGATCTTTAATCAGATGTGTTTTCAGCTGCCGTCACGCTGATAAATGTTTCTATTTCAGCTCTTAAATGTCAAATGAACAGGTTTGATTTTTAGCTCTGATGGTAGAAAGAGAGTTTAGTTAAATAAAGAGGAAGAAGAGTTTGGATGATGATGATGATGATGATGATGATGATGATGATGACTGACCTTCTCTGTAGAAGTCATTATTTGGGATCCTGTTGGTGAGGAGACCCTGTCGGACCTGACGACACAAACACAGATCATGCAGCAGCAGAAAGACCAGAAGAGCTCTAAAACTCTGGACCAGGTGAGGGGGCGGAGTCCCGCACCTGTCGGGGGAGGGCAGGGGGTTTGTAGCAGCAGAGCCTCAGCATGTCGTCCAGCTCCTGCATGGTTCTGGGGATGAGGGGGATGGAGGACTCCTGCTCGATGCGGTCCTCCAGCTCCCTCAGACGACTGATGAACTCCGAGTCCGTCGGGTAAATCAGACCTGCGGGACCAGATCCAGGATGGAACCCGTTTGATTGACAGGAAAAGACAACGAGAGTTCCCTCAGACGCTCAGAGTTTACCTCCTGGACAAACCAGGGTGACGCTGGCCAGGTCTGAGGGGTACCGGGCTGCGTACACCCCTGCGACGTTTCCCCCCATGGAAGTCCCGACCAGGTGGAAGGGTCTCTGGTTCAGACCGATGCTCTGCACAAACTGACCACACAGAGTGTCGGAACCGTGTGTTTCACAACGTTTCTGACAAGTCCTGAAACGTGTCGTACTGACCTGGTGGATCCTGCTGACCTGACCCTGGATGCTGTAGTCCTCTGGACCGGTCCGACTCGTCCCCTCGTGACCCGGCATGTCCACGCAGACTACATGCAGGTCTTCAGGGAGGTACTGGAGGGAAACGACACGTTATCGTAACAAAACGAGTTTTTATTTGAAGTTTTTATGTTTTTACTGATCCTCATCAGCGGGACCACCAGGGTCTATGTTTTGGTTTTTAGCCCCGCCCCCTCATTCCTTACGTTGACGACGGGCAGCCACATGTCCTTGGTGGCGGAGAACCCGTGCAGCAGCAGCAGCGATGGAGCGGCGCCCCCCGGTGTCCCACGGCTGGAATAACAGAACCTGTAGCTCCCGCTCTGAGAGTACCGGACCCCCATCCCCAGCCTGCGGCGCCAGTACCTGAGGGAGATTCACAGGAGCTTTACAGAACCGTTCAGGACTCCTGATACAGGTTTAGACTCTTTAAAGCAGAGATTATAAACCCGTGGGCCGCGAGCGCCACCTTGGGGGCCTCAAAAGAACAGTTTTTAACTTTGGGCTGCAGAGGGCTGCATTGATTTTGAATAAGGTGCAATACACTTTCTCACCACTAGTAGCAGTAGTGCACCACTCAGATGTTTAACAACTTTTTAATATGTAGAAGAAGAACCTTAGAAACCTGCTGAGAATGGAAACTTATTTTAAATGAAAAGAAGAAGCAAAAATGAAAGTAACTCATCAAAAAAGGCCGAAGTTTGTCACTAATATGAAGAGCAGCTTCTGCTTTTACCATGTAATATTTTAAAAGTTCAAAACATTATCAAATACAGTTGTAGATACAAATAT